TATAAATTTTTTTTGGTAGCAAACATTGCCTTTTTATTCTGTTAATTTTATTTTTATACTGTATCTATCACAACAGGACCTTATTTTTTTATATTAATTCCTTAGATTAATTTAAAGTTAATAAGTATTCTGTAGTGGGAATTAAAGTGGCTTGCTCAAAGGTGAATTCTCTTACCCTGGGAGCATGGTGTTGGTGGTGAAATGGTCTTTCCATAGATGAGTGGGGTGTTATGGGTGGTATCCACAGAGGAGATTCAGCAGGGCTGGTTTTGGTGTGTTTGGGGCTGCCCTTGGTTTTGTTGAATAACTTGTCTTATCGTTTCATAAGCTTCTGCTTTTGTTTCGTTTAGTACTGGATTCTGTACAGATTATAATAGCTGCTGTAGCTGATACAGGAGACTCTCTTGTGGCCAGCTATCCTAGTCAGTCCATTGCACTGATTTGCCATTCTATTTTGTTCTTCGTTGAGGAAGAATAATTGAATTTGAGAAAAGATTTGAACCTTCTAGCTTTCTGTTTCAGCTTTGTGAGAGATTTAGTCTGAAGGCTTTTTAACAGTCATCACCTAAAAGAACATAGCTAAATCCAAGATTGGGGCATAATGAGCAAGTTCAATTCAGAGATGCTTTGTAAATCATGTAAAACTGTGATAATGTAATTTCACAGCAATTTTTCTGGCTCATTTAGAGACTGAATGGAGAAGCGACAGAGGGAGCTGTCTTCCATATAAAGACAACTCCAAAACCAAGCTGGTCTTGGACTATCACAGGATTATCACAATCAAGGGACATGGATACAGAAGTGGACATGTTCCCTGGAGCTCAAAGGCAGAGCACCCTTCACTGTTCCAAGGGAATTAAAAGGCAAGCTCAGAGGGGTCATGGTGTAGTTCCTGTATTAGACAGTACACTTGAAAGCCTTCAGCATCTCTCATGACTCACATTTTTTTGAGCTTTTTATCTTATTTTAGGCAAATTTGTAAAATTATTTTCATATGACAATGTCTGGCCCTTATTTCTGCCTCATGAACAAATTATCAACAGCAACAAATCTCTTGCACATCCTCCTTCTTTTTCAATGTAAGATGTCACTGCATACAAACAGGAATACTAAAGGACTCTAAGTAGAGAAAGGAAAGCATGCTACAAAAATACTTTGGTTTACTGGCATGAAAAGCACAAAATTATGTATGCCACATACGGATAGTTGTCCATACTTTCATCCGCAATTTCTTAGTATGTTACTTGGAGGACTTCAATGTTGAACTTCTTATTAATAAATCAAACCAAATGATTTGGGATTTGACACTTGCAGAAGGTATTTATAATAATAATGTGGAAAAATCCATTACGACTTTTGTAATAAGTGTGGTGGCATGGAGCTAGATCACTATAGACCAGATCAAATTTTGTAAGACAAAAGATGGTATGCAATAATAACTTATCTTTCCTGTCCTCAGTTTGGGACACATACACAGACAAGGAAGAAATGACATCTTTCCTCCTCCCTTAACACACACAGCTTCCTAAAATGAGAACATCTTATTGAATACACTTTTAATGGCCCAAATTTACAATTAACTTTGATAATTGCTTGGTTATCACCACTAGTTATAAACTGGTGACTAAATTTCACAACCCCTCAAGTAAACTTAATGCAGTTTCGTAGGCCAACCCATGTGTCTTCAGTGAACATAAACAAAGATTTCGGGCATATGTTGCCGAAAACAAACATGAAAGGGTTGGGCTTTTGGGGAATTTGTTAGTTTGTTTGTTTTATGTGGACTAATTAAATTGGGGGCTATAGAAAAAACAACACAATACAAAAGTCAAGTCAAATATTGCAGTCTCTTGGTCACAGGACAGATCAGAATAATTCAAAAAGATTATGCTGCTTTTGTATTTGAATTACGAGGTCTGTTATTTTCATCCAAATATCTGTGGGCATCTCCAAAATCAATACTGCATTTTATAAGCATTTTATCAGCCCCAAACTCCTGGGCAATGGCTTATGCCTCTGTTGTACCATCCCAGACAGTAATTTACAAAATCAATTTAAAAAAAGCAGGGTACAAGCAATGATTTTTTTCCAAGGTCTTTCTGCAACAAAAGACGGTATCTCTGTTGCTAGTGACTGTAGGTTAGAGAGTTAATTTTTGGTGGATAGTCTGAGGACTCTAATTAAAACCAACTCTGTATAAGACTGGTGATATCCTCTTGATCTTACAAAGTGGTAAGGGCTGCTGTGATGTTCAGAATACTCCAAACTCCCCTGAAACTGAAAGGAAGTCAAGGACAATGTCTAGGAGGTTGTAGTGCACAAATGCAGGGCTGAGTGCTCTGCAAGATCTGAGTACTTCTGCTGCCCACTATTAATAAATTTATATAGGATTTTATTTGCAAATATGATGAAAGATTGCCATTTTTTCTGGTTCAGTGACCTAAGGATGCAAAACTCACTGTCAGTTAGAGGACTAACTAAGGATTCTCAAGTATTGGCCATCTCTTTTTGAAGCTCTGGCATTTCTCGTAGCTAGCAGTGTGTTGCAAACACTGCAAGGGTAAAAAATTTCAGCATACTCCAGAGCTGAGTATTTCAATGTGTGGAAGTTGGCCCAGTGCAGCAAACCCAAGATATTTCTCAAAGCATTTAGCTATCAAGTCTCAAAGACTTTGAGTTTTGCAAGGCTCAGGCAGCCACTGATGTTTTCTCCTGGACCAAGATCTTAGCTTTAACAAACTGTCAAACAAAATCAAACAGAAATTTTTGCTGTGTAGAATCACCATATATTGTTCCTCTTCTACTTACAATACTCCTTAAAAAAATAAACGACACTGTGCCTGCTTCTTTCATTTGCTTGTTTTGTATCATTTTAGCTTGCGGTTGTGGCTCATTGTAATTCTTTCCCACCTTTGTTGTTATCATGGCTGTATGAGTAACTTCCACATTAGGCTGGAAAAGATGTGCATCTGTCTTTTCTCCGTGTCAAAACAAACGGGTAATTCTGCAAAATGTAGGAATAGTCTGTAGGGAGAAGAACTCTTCTGCTTTCCTGATTTTTTTTTTTTTTTAATGTGAGCTCTTTTTCCTCCCCTTTCTTTTATAGTAGTCTCTGTGTGAGCTCTTGGTCTGTTCTTCATGATTCACTGAAGGCTGTATTGCTGAGTAGATCTTCTGGATTTAAGAATCACTGATGATCCTTAAAAAACAAAGAGTAAGAGCAGGATTCTCCCTAGTGAGTGCTTTTTCTGCACATTCAGATCAGAGACCTCCCCGAATGGCTTCCAGCACAATAGAACATTTTTCCCAGGAGTGCATGAGGCTTTCATGAGCCCAGAAAGTCCCTTCTGAAGTGTGTGATTAATGCACCATCCCCACACAAGGAATTAGATATCCTGTTTCTGACACACAGACTCAAACGATATTAATCCGTGCAAAGGGCCTCCTATTTGCTGAAGAAGCTGTATTGCTACAGCTGTATTTTTTTTTCCTGTTGGGAATTTACGTCACTGTTTATTCTAATTAGAAAAGGGCAGCCTTAGTCTCAGTGGGCCAGATCTCTTACAGCCATCAATATATCCTGCAGTGTTTTTGCCTTCCTCATTCTCTGCAAGATACACTTTGATTTGTAATCATGTTTCTGTCCATCTACAGGGGAAAACAAAACAAACAACCCAGATTACGCTGTTCAGCTCAATTTGTCATATTTTTGCTTCTGTTTCACAGTTTACTCTTTGACGATGTCTCTTGGTGTTTGGAAAGAGAGAAAAGGAAAGGCAGATTGGAAAATGGTGTTTCCAAAACAGGGCAACTTGTTCAAAATGTTGGAAGCGAAAAAGGAGGCAGTACTGAAACATTTTAAGCTGTCTGAAGAAAGGAAGAGGGAGGATTGCTTCTGAGACGAAGAGTACTGACTTGGAGAAGGGTCCATCTGTTCTTCTCGGGATCTGGCAGTTTTCTCTCCTGCGATAGCATCATGCTGCTGATGCAGAAATGCCCAAGCAACACTGATACATTATTATATCCTAGGACAAATAACCAAGAGAGGCTTTTAGTAGCAGCATTGTTGTTTTTCCCTTGTCAGCTGTCTATCAAAGACTCAGAGGTAAGGACAAGGGATGCCCTGAAGAGATTTTGAAGTCCTAGGAAGGATTTTTGCCTAGGCCAGGTGCAAGGGGTGCTGCTTTAGCAGTGTGAACGTCTCTTCTTATGTCGCTCCTTGGACTACAAACTGTTGTTTACATGGGAAATCCATTCAGCACACAAAGTGCTGGAAGCATAGTGAAGCTCAGGTGGCCTAAAAGTTGGCAGTGTTTCTATGGTCTAAAGAGTGTTTTCCAAACATGCACTTAGCTCCATCCAAGAGTCCATGCCTATGACTGAAAGGAGCATTTTTGCAGCAAAAATGAAATAAGCAGAAGGATGGCCTTATAATAATGACAGTACCACAGAGAAGAATGAAAAAGAGACCTCACCTCAGAAAGAAAAAAAAAATCTTGAATCAGAATTTTTATGCTTTTTTATTTCTTACAACATAGCCTCCCATTTTTAACTTTGAACTATGTAGTATAGTATACATGGTCTCCGAAGGTGTTTGGGAAATATTAAAGATCTAAAATCCATGTCAATGTGGCAGGGAGAGCAGGTAGTGGTAGGTGATCCTCTGATGGAGTAAAGATCAGTCCATATATACTCTGTCACTATAAAATTGTTCTGTACCACCAACAGTGCATTTACCTTGCATTCATTATTTCAGAATGTGGTGTCAGACTGGTCAGAAATGCTACTGATTGTGCCTGGAAGTTTATTTGACTGTGTTTTGCAGCCAAGATTTTGCCATCGATCTATGCTCTGTTTTGCGCATTTGATTTTCCTGTTGCAAAGCGTCTCTGGTGTTTCATGTAGCTGTAAGACATCTCAGAGCTGCAAGATGCATGCAGCAGAATGCTTCTTGCCAGTATTTATGTCAGGTTCACTCTTTGGCATTATGTCTTTTTCAGATCCGCTATGCTGGTGCTGCTGACAGTTCAGTTCAGTTTATCTTCTATCAGCCTATCATTCACCGATGGAGGGAAACTGATTTTTTCCCTTGTTCAGCATCCTGTGGTGGAGGTAACGAATTACCATTGTATTCCAGAAACAGTCATCTGCATACAGGATCTGTCTCAACTGCTGCACTGAGATTTCGACCTTTAAAATGGGCGAAATCTGAAAATGAAAGTAGTTCATCTAAATGAAGGGAGGATGCAGCAACAGTGGTAGTAGCCTGTAGATTTTTTAGCATCATAAGTATCCAGGCTCTGTACCTAAAGTATATTTTGATATCCACGTGACTGCATCCAATGCTACAGCTGTCAAACATAAGGGCTGGTGGGATTTAAGCCTGCTTTGGAATCAGATGTCTCCATTTGTCCCCATCCCCACCAGCAGCTTTACCCTCTGAACGGAAACTGAGAGAATGAGTCTTGGTGACCCAAGAAACCTCAGCCCTCGTTTTTTCTTTTTACTCTAGGCTTCTGGATTTTTATTTGACCATGCTGGTCTTTTGTTTCCTACTACATGTGATTTAAGTTCTTGTTTTCGATCTGGTTTGTAATACAGCTTTGTTAAGTCCAAAAGTGCTGATATTTTCAGTTCGCTTTTTACCAAACGGGGATGTAAATGCACTTCAGAGAGAGACAGGAAGAACAACACGTCATGTATTATTTCTTCTGCTGTGTATTGCAGGTTATCAACTGACATCTGCTGAATGTTTTGATCTGAGAAGCAACCGGGTAGTAGCAGACCAATACTGTCACTATTATCCTGAAAATATCAAGCCAAAGCCAAAACTTCAAGAATGTAATCTGGATCCCTGTCCTGCAAGGTCAGTTAGCTCTAATTTTAAAGAGACTGGGCTTTAAAAGAGTAAAATACAGTAGCAAAATATCCTGTTGCTGTTGCTTACAGTGTCATTTAGCTACACAATTCAATCCCTTTCTCATCCTGAGGATGTACTGTGTAGAAAAAGACCTCTGTTTAGCACCTCCACATTTCAAAGATTGAGTTGAAATGGTTGTTTCTTCCCTTCACATTGTGTTTTGCCTCATTAAATATTATAAAGTGTGACAAAACAAATTGTCCATGATAACATCCCATGATCAACACATGTCTCTTAAGAGTTAGTGAGATGGGAAAAGTTCTCTTGGAGTAAAAATGTTGCTACATCACAATCAGAGACGTTATTTTGATGGTGTTTTTACATTGTCTCCTTAATAAAAAGCTTACTTGCAGTCATGACAGCTTGTAAGAATGTAACACGGGAATTTGTTCGAATTATCAACACCCTTTGGCCCCACACGAAAGACTCCTCTCTGCGTCCCTGCCAGGCATTCTGCCTCAGAAGATTAATAGTAAAAAGAGTAAGATCACAGTCAGATTTCTCATGCATAAGAAAAGGAACAAAATCACAAAAACAATCAGTCCTTTGTTGCACTGATGCCCCTGAACTTCAGTGGAAGTCAGTCTGCAGCAGCTCACAAGCCACAAGCATTTATTGGTGTAAGCTAAACCCTTTGGTCCTCTTGTGTGGCTTTGCTAAAAGATGGTTAAGTGCAACCCAGCCAGCAGGCATGAATGCATGCCCTAAAGCCGTTTATTTACCTGCTCCTTTTCCTTTAGACTAGTTTTGCACCAAGTTTGATAAAGCAAATTCAAGCGAGCGTCACCTAAAAAGTTGCTGTGGCCATTCAGGTTACTAGAGGTTGCCATAGGAAAAAGATATCCTAGCCAGAAGAAGAAGAGTGCTTTAGGGATCTATGGGACTATTTATCCACCCGACTGAGGATGATTGCTTCCCAAACCAGGTACACCAGCTTTAGACTAGCTAGGCATTATCAGAGCAGAACTAATTATCAGAGCAGAAATCACTCCAAGCTCAAGACAGTTTTTACCTCTTCTTGAAAGTTTTCATTAAAGTTCATTGACTTTTCATAACTGAAGTTAACACTCAGCTTTCTTCGTTCCTGAAGACACATTTACCCAGAGTGCACGGCAGTTTATATTCCTTTGTTCTAGTAAATACATTTTTATTTGGAATTCTGTCTGCAGACAATTAAAAGCTAGAAATGTTCACATACAGTTTTAGATTTGAAGTGAAAATCTCCCAGAATTAAAAGGTGGAAATACCAAATCTTGGAATCCAACACTATCTCAGCTATATTGTACATTCTTTAAGTTATGTACTTTGTCACGTATTTCATCAGGATGTATTAAGGATATAATATTAAGAACGTAACTTCACTAGGGCTCTGTGAAAAGTATTTCCTGTTGAGCATGTACTCAGAAGTGATTTTTCAATTTGGAAATTGCTTTCCCGCAATGCAAGAAAAATATTTTTTGCTTTAACAATATTCTGTCAAGTTCAGTATCTGGCTTCTCTTGTTCTAGTACTTCCACAAAAAAAATACATATATTTAATTTTTTAGGTTGCTTAAATATATTAACGATTGCAACTAGATACCTTACTATAATAAAGTTCTTGCATATTTTCCTCAGTGATTTTCTCAGATCAAAAACTGTTTCTTTGAATTTTCCTTTGAATTGTTTGAGGCAAATGTCAGTAAAGTAGAGGCCAGGTATGATCAGTTAAGAGACCTAAATACGAATGTCTCAGAAAAAGAATTGCTGAAAGGCGTGAATCAATAGGGAACCTATCTTTCAGATTCACTTTTCACAGTATCAATGAGAAAGTAATTTTATGTAGAAAATTTATTTAAAAAAAAAAAAGCCCAAGCTGCTGCTTTTTAAAAACACAGTTATGAGTCAAATATGTAATTTATCTCTGGAATTTTTACTATGCATATTTTCCATAATTTTCCTGATAATTTTAAATGACATATTCTCAAATGATAAGGCTGTGTGGTACATGGGAGGAAAGAGAAAAAAATAACAGCAGCTGGGCTGATGTCAGGAAGCAATTTTTGTTTTTATATAAGACATAACAAGGCAAAGTTGTTGATATAAAGACCCTGAAGGGAGGGAGAGTCATTTCGAAGTACAGCTATGCCTTCCCAGGGTACAGGCAGTTAAGAGAGAGGAATTGGCTTTTTGGAAACATCCTTACGGAATGCCAAACTGCAAATGATTATTTTCAAAAGTGCCTTTGTAAAGAATTCAAGAATCAACAACCCAGACAGAAAACCAGAGGAAATCTGTGGTAACTTCTGGAATCCTGATGCTTTCTTACGGTCAGGAGGAGGGTAGGTGAAGCAGAACAACGGGGTCAGGAGCATAAGCGAGGAGGACGTCTTGGCTCTGCAGCCTCTTTGCTGTGTGGGAGCTGCTCTGCTGTGCCGGAATAAAACGAAGTTGTTAATTTTTCCTGGCAAACCCGATTCCAGTGAGGCATAGCTGATTAGTGGTTGCTGACTGTTCCTATGGTGTGTCAATGAACGCCACAGAAAATAATCGTGGAAGACCACAGTGATGCTGAATAAAGCAACTGAGAGGGGTTACTGTAGGAGAGCTTACATTAAAATTTTCAGCAAAGGGCAGGCTGAAAGAAAAGTTTAAATGAATACCAGGAGTATCGTGTGGGCCTGCAATTAGTTGCCTCTTTAGGCTTAGTGCATAGAAATGTTTTAACTTTATTGTGCTTATTATGGCAATAATTAGCAGTATTGCTGGCATCGTGAGTAGCAAAAAAAGCCTGGACCGAACAAATATGGAAAATGAATCAACTTTTCTTTTTGCAAATCCAGTTTCTCACACACTCAGAGGAGAAACAGTGTGAAGAAGGCTATTAATCAAGCATATATAATTTATTCGTGTCCCTTTTCTGAGTTCAGTAAAGGTCACCCGCTCACCTAAGACAGGTAATTAGTGTCTCGCAGGATAGATGACATGTCATGACACTGAGTCCCTTTTCGTCCCCACATGCTGTCAATGCCCTGTCCAACCTCTCTCATCAACCTTCTTTGAGACTCAGCTCCCGCCAGAAAGAAATGCACTGTTTATTTACAGTCCATTAAGATTTTACAACAGTCTGTACTTGCCTGGCAAATATATGTATAATGCCTACTGATATAAAGAGCGTCCTGTTCAATATAGTCCACTTCCTTTCTATGTGGCAAAATCCAACATTAAGATTTCACATATTTCGTTAATTGAAAATCTTTAACTATCCAAAACTTTATAGACTGGAGAATTTAGAGGAGACTTTTTTTTTAGCTATCATGAGTATCCTCCTGCCTGGTTTCCTCTAATGAAAGTTGAATGAAATGTTTTCTGCTTGGAGAAAAGGTCTGTTTAGATTTGACTTAACTGTGTGTGCTAAACACTCTACCTAAAAGAACCTAAAACGTCCTATAAGCTGAATATACCATTTCTTTCATAAAGTCTCTCCTCCAAAAAGCAATTTTTGTGAACATGAAAAAGGCTTTTACCTCACTCATCATTCACCTACTCACCAGGATGCTCTCTGGAGCAACATCAGTACTGCTTCTAGATTTCATCTTTAGCTTTTAAGTGACATTCCCAGCTGCACTGTCCTGCATTTTTACCAATCTCTTTTTTTTTTTTGCCTATCTCTGCTACATGTTAACGTGGGGTTTTCTGAGTCATAAAAGATATACCGGTACTTTTACCAGGAGATTTCAATGGTGTATAAAGATTTCTAAACGCATCTTCAGGAAAGATTCTAACCTCGTGAAGCAACAGTCTCAAAAATGTCATATTGGCAAGCCTCTAACCTGTGGACTTCTTTTCATCACTGTGCCAACAGTGCCAGTCTGATCTGCACAGGCGAAACTCCTGGAATTTGCCTAGAGCGTTATCTGTAATCCTGCCACCAGAAATAATGTTAGCACCTGTGGAAAGTTTGGGAAAAAATCTCTAATACAAGCAAGACTTTCAACACTCAGAGACCTGAAGGAATCTCAGATATCCAGTTTATGGAGTCCTCCAGCAAAGTTGCCAACTCCTCTTCCTACTCATCAAAGTTTTTCTTCTGGCGTTCTCACTTAACTATCCATACGGAGTGGTGGCAGAGGCAGACATCAGCAAAAAGAAACTTAAATAGAATTGTAGGTTTTAGTTGCTAATTTTTAGCTAATCTAACAAGAGCCATGAAGAACAAGTAAAAGCACACAAAAGGCTGGTAGGATATTATGGCTGTTCAGAATAACCCCGGGTAGTGACAAGTGCCCAGTGTACTCGGTGATGTGAAAGTGTGTACTGTTTCCTGGGCAGCAGTGCAAGACTGATAGCTTTTATGTATTTCCTTCAGACGAAAAGGAGGTAGTAATGAGTAAATGTGAATGATTAAAAAAAGCAACATAGAGTATCCTCTTAATCAGTAACAGAGGTCTCCTCACTTTGCTACAAATTGGCAGCTGAAGCAGGAAATTGTCAAATGCATAGTTTTTTGCTTGTTAACAGCTTCCCAAAAGGTATTATATTAGATAACAATTATAAACCAAGTGTCACAGCGGTGCGGTGCTCTCATTTTCCCTGCATTCTCTCTGGAAAATGAACAAAGCTGGAGTGTTGGTATGTTCCTGAAAAGAGGGGTTGCGCTTTCTGATTTATACAGTAGCAGCCACAGATCTGCAGTGATGAGACGGGTCTGAGACACAAAGATTTATTGTTATTGCCCTCAACTGGGACACATGATAGATTTAAACTTTGTTTTGAATACTGTTTCACATAAAATATCCCATAGTTATGGCAGATACTGGTTTGGTTTGGGTTTTTTTACAAACAGCTCAGCCTTTTGCAGGGATGTGAGGACACTGGTCATGACAATGCCCTTTCCTGATCTCTGCCTCAGGCAAATGGTCATTTCTGTGAATTTCCATTTTTATTTAAGTTCTGAATTTGTTACAA